GATACTACAAGAACTCGTGGCGCCACCAGATTGGCTAGTGAAATCCCAGTCTAATATTAAGGTGTTTCGACCTCTCCGGAGTGTCGTGCAGGCAGTCGGATCTAGGCCCCAATGAGGGAACTGGAGAAATGGTGGGCAATGAATCCTAGGTGGATACATATGATTCCCGTATAGGATTATGGAGGTTTTGTAACACTAGTAGTGTAGGGTTAACTATAAAAATAGCTGGACCAAGTTACATCTAAACTTGCCGAAGTAATAAAAAAAAAAAAAAGATCAGGAAGCTAAGTTTAATGATTCATCTTTCAGTAAATTTTTAGCAAGAGAGGTTGGTGCAAGTAATAAACTCAGGTTTGTATTTTATATATATATAATTTAAGTTATTCTTTTATAAAATTTATATATATACTATTAAATATTATTTTATGTAATGAAATGGAAAATCAGGAAGCTGAGTTTGACGATTCATCCTTTAGTAAATTTTTAGCAAGAGAGGTTAGTGCAAGTAATAAACTCAGGTTTGTATTTTTGTACGTATATAATTTAAGCTATTCTTTTATAAAATTTATATATATACTATTAAATGTTATATAGTGAAATGGAAAATCAGAAAGCTGAATATGACGATTCATCCTTTAGTAAATTTTTAGCAAGAGAGGTTGGTACAAGTAATGAACTTGGGTTTGTATTTTTGTATATATATAATTTAAATTATTCTTTTATAAAATTTACATATATACTATTAAATATTATTTTACATAGTGAAATAGAAAATCAGGAAGCTGAATTTGACAATTTATTTTTTAGTAAATTTTTAGCAAGAGAGGTTGACACAAGCAATGAACTTGGGTATGTTATATGTATATTATTTAAGCTATTCTACAAATTTACTGTACATATATACTATCACTATATTATTTTTGCATTATTTTTATCAATTATTTTAGTGAAATAAAAGATCAGGAAGCAGGGTCTGATAGTTCATCTTTTACTAATTTTTTAAAAGAAATCGAAGGTGATTATAAAAACTGTGGCTTATCCCTTAAACTGTAAGCAATTCTAGGCAAATTTGCCTGGAAAATTGCTATAAATTTGCTTATGATTTATTTTTT